TATATATATATATAGATAGTATAAATTTTCATTCGAGTAGAAATCACTCTTTCAACGATCCAGACCAGCCAACTTTAACTGGTTTGTTGAGGGCTTATTATTTGAACAAAGAGATCACGAGTTCAAGATCATACATATGCAGCTCGTTTGTATTGAAGGTTAAATTTGCACAAATTCAAATAAAATAAAATAAACCCTTGATAATGATGTCTCCTAATTTAGCTCTTCATATTTGTCTCCTAGTGAAACCACATCCAGCATATTGTCATATCATAACATCAAATTTTATTTTATTTTTTATAAATGAAAATGTAATTTTATCATTCTTTTTGGTTTATTATAAATCAAATGTATTCATTATTTACATCAAAGAAAGGCTGCATGATCCTCAATTCCAAGAAGAAAAAAAAAAAAAAAAACCTCAAAATGTCTTTTATTTATTTTCATTTGGGCCAACTCATATTATTGGTAAGATTTTGATATTACTCGGGCAAAATTCCTTCAGAGAAATTAAGCCAGAGTAACAAGAAGTTTAAAAATTCTTGGCCAAAGTACTTCTCTCTTAATCAGAGAAAAAAAAAATTCCACACCAACCCCTTCATATATAACCAGACAAATTTATAATCCACACCATCCCCTTAGTTCGAAGAAAAAATGTAACATATTTCCAGAATTTGACGTTGTGGCTATAACAAACCTCTGATCTCGTGCCAATGAATCATTGAATCTTAGTCAAAATTTCACAGTTGTGCAGGAAAAGAAAGATTTAAGAAAATGGGAACACAAAAATGGAAATAATTGGTGCAACTCTGCAAAGCAGAATAAAAGAAAATAAAAAAATAAATATCGGGATTGCAGCAGCGCAGTTATTGCTCAACTCATTGCAAGTAATGACAAAAAAGCATGTTTTCCGAAACAAATAAAGATGGTCATTCTAAAACTAAGAAGGAAATCACCGTTTGCAATTCAATTAACGTAGAATAGTACATTACAGGAACAAGTAACATGGCAATACAGCTAATTAGAGTCAACTACGGTTTCCTGATGTTATCTCAAGGACCACAAACAGTCACAAGAAGAAGAAAACCATGTTTAGGGTTCACATATCACCACTGCATATTATTAACTCACATAGTCATCTGTTTGGTGAAAAAAAATTTACATAATGCTTACTTGAAGCCTCAAGTTCTTTCACATGGTACTAATATGGGCACACATTCTTTATCCATATCCTTAAGCCAAACATTATTTTCTCCTAGGCACATTACGCTTACGTTTAAACTTACATAAATGCTGTCATATGGAAACCTTTGCATTTCACTCTGCTCTGCGAAGCTAATGTCAATCGCTGCTCTCTGTGAATACATCCAGAAGGGCCAGCGCCTGAATAAAGAAAACCATAAAATATTCAGCAAAATAATAAGGTTTGGTATTCAGAAAACCATATGCTAATTATCATATTATTTAGAGTTGAATGCAGTTGCACCATACCTCAGGTACACTAAGCTCGAGTCGGAATTTGGGACCATCGTAGTGGTGTAAAATTGGCCTGAAAGAATCTTCTTCAAGTGGTTCACAGTTTTTCCTAGTCACAACTTTTATCTGTGCGGGGAAAAAAACTAACAAAATGAGACCATGTAAAAGAAATCAGCTGATAATAAACGGGCAACAGTTGTAAAATCTAATGGTGGTGAAATTCATGCAGATTTATTCAAATATGAGATCCAATAGCTAAATCTTCTTTTAACAAAAGCAGGCATAAATTAGTTGTTCTGAAATAGTATTTGAAATAATTAGCTGGAGCATTCTTCCCAAAAGCAAACTGCAGCAATTTATTTTATAATTTTGCCAAGACCTGCATCATAAAAGCTGTCCCTGTTGACAGTCATGCATAGTGTCTCAATCCCTTCAGAGTTGTTGAAATATATAGGCACTTAATAATGCTATATTAACTATAAAGTGTAACATAAGTTCAGATAAATGGTCATCGGTATTTGATAGAAATAAAGGATAATATTAATGGTACAAAGTGAACAATTGAAAAACGATTTCAACAATTAGTTTTATTTTCTAAAATTCATTATTTTGAGGTGAAAATATCGTACGGCTTAGTCTTATCAAGATTAATAAGCTTACAAATAAGATTGAAAAAATAAAAACATCAGTCTTCAGAAGAATATCACATGATTTCGTAAATCAGTAAACCCAATAGATTCAATCCAAATCACAATCTATAAAAGTCATTGAAAATTAGCACAGTTACAAGAAGGATCAAGAGTAAAGAAGCTGATGTATGCTTGTCCCATCTGATTCACAGCTTTAAAACGGGGAGAGAAATCTCAAACAGAAGCATATGAAGTTCCACACCAAAATTAAGATATCAAGTATATTTCAACAAAATTAATCTTGGGACCAAACAAAACAAAAAAGAACATTTTAAACAGTTTCCAACTAGAAGTTGATGAACAACAATTTCTACTACTAATCAAATTATTTAGAAGAAGCATGATTGAAGGGACCCAAGAGTGGATGATGGTAATTGATCTACATAATTTAAATCTCTGGTGTCTGAAGTGTGCTTATTATAAAAAGAACAGCACATACTAGCTTTACTATTTGCAATCAATTACTATCGTGGTGTCATTAATCAAACAACAAAAAGAAAGAAAAAAAAAAATCTATGAACTAACAAATAATATGCATAAATAGTATGTTGTACCTGAGCAGGAAAACGAGATTCTCCCGGATGCTTTTTATCCTCCCAGGCTGCAGGATCAATATTTGTTCCTCCAAAACTAGCAGCCTTAGAATTACCATGAAAAAAAAAAGAAATCAATTTAATTCATACATGTATCAAAGAAAAATTCATAAACGAAAATAGGGTAAAGTATTTGAATCGCATTCTTACCTCAAAAATCCCATGAAGCTGATGTGTTGAATAGTTGTATAAAAATATTGGCAGGCCCGGCGTTATTGCCCGGACAGAGTCTCTGTAGCGTGGAGGAAGACCTTATGCATAAAATAAGTAAACAAATAAATTCCCACAAATTTGTTATATATAAGAAAATAAAATGAAATAACTAAAAATTAATTTAAATATTCACGTTTTCTAATAACCACCCAATTCATCCCATAATATGTCAGAAGATATCAACATTACAATTATTAGAAGGAAGAAAATTATATAAGATCACCTCCAATCTGAACTCCATATATATCTATCGCCAACAACCAGAAATATGTCATCTTCTGTTTGGTAGAACCCTTTAGTAAATCTAACCAAACAGTAGAATGCAGGAGTTTGATGAATTTATGAATTTTCTAATTTATTAGCCCCGTTTTTGGTTTTGATTCGGCTTAAATCATGAGTCTGGATGGATTCAACTTACGTGAGGATTTAGAAGTTTGTTATGTTTGTTAAAATAAAAAATCATAATTAAATTTTTATTATTTTATCATTGTGATAAACATTAATTATTTAATTTTATTTAATTTAAATTTTATTTCTGATTATACTAATTAACAATTAGAGGCAAATGGCCACACAAACGCGGGATCGTGGCGTACAAAGACAGGAAACTTCATATTTCCTCTCCTTCCCCACCGCTCCTCCTTGAAACCACAGAGACTGATGGAGGAAGATAACTCCATGTCCTCCTTTTTGCACGAATCGCCACAATCCCGGATTTACTAAGCCGATTCAAAGGATTCAATAAGGCCCATTTGGGGCAGCTTATAAGTGCGGCATGTTTGGTTCATGTTTATTCTCAGATTATCCAAAACATCCGCCGATTCAAAGGATTCAATAAGGCCCGTTTGGGGCAGCTTATAAGTGCGGCGTGTTTGGTTCATGTTTATTCTCAGATTATCCAAAACGGTGTTTTGAAGCGGGCGGCGGCGGGAGTCGTCCCGCAGTCCGCGTTTTCCATCAAAATATTACGCCAGTGACCCTCGTGACCCTGCCTTTAAAGCATTCGCACTCTAAATCTAGGATTTCCGGCCGAAACCAGTGAAATCCGGATTTATATAATCGGAGGCTTTATTTTGTCTAAACTGACCGTCTGGCAAAATATAGGTCAAATCCGGGTTAAGTCCTACTCTAAATCCGATACTAGACAGCCCCTCAAGGATTTACGGATTTACTAGATCTTACTAAGGCTAAATCGTACATACAGCAAAACTGCCCCTTAATCTCACATGGATGATTGATCTAATTTTTAAGGCATCGAAGATTTCATATGCAGAAGGGATACTACTCGATCTACGAAAACCAAAAAAAAGTAGTTACTTGTGGTTCTGTTTTTTTTTTTTTTTCTCTATGGTTAAATTAGCGTGAAGAAATAGAATTATTAGGGAAATCTCTAAAAAAAAAACAAAATTCAACTGAAAATTTAGCAGCATAGAATAATCATCATAAACAATAAAAAAGAGTATAGAAATATCGAAATAAATACATTTAAATAAAAGGAATATGTGCAATAACATACCAAAGAGCTGCCTTTTCAGATTCTCCTCCATGGTTTCATTGTTGCAGACAAAGATGTAACCTCCCACTGCCTCGCCTCTTGGAAGAGCCTCCGACGGTGGCAAAGTCTTGAACCTCTTATCCAGAGCACTGCCACTATTAGTATTGATATTATTATTGTTATTACTAATATCTTTACTACTGCTGTTACTGTTCTTCTTATTCTTCCCCACTTTAACAATACTCTCGTTGTTCTTCTTGGTACCACCGAACACAGCAGTACTGTGACTATTCACCGTTGAGTTAGAAATCGGCTTCCCGAAATAATTCTTGATCTCTCCGTTATAGTTATTCACACGACTACCGTTGTCAAAATCCTTTGTGACCTTCAGACTACTTGCGCTATTCAGGTTGTTGTTGTTGTACCGATTAAAATTGTTGTTAGTGAAAGCAAGCTTTTGAGGGACATCGAACCCCATCTTCCAGCCGGCGTCAGAGGAAGCAAAAGCGTCCATGTTCCGGCGATCCTCCATCCGGCGGGCGGAGAGCAACGGATCAGACCATATGCTGTCTCCGAGAGAAAGATTCGAGATTCCGGCGGTGTGGAGTCGAAGCTGGTCGCTGAAGTTCCAGAAAGTTGACTGATCTCTTCCGCCATCCATCTTCCTGATTGAATACTAACAACACTCTCAGATCAGAAGTGATTTTGACTGAGCACAGATACAGTAAGGATGAATTGGTACGAAGAGCCGCGGCGTAGCCTATATAGAGGGGAAAGAGGGGAAAGATGGAATGGCGAACTTTCTAGGTAAGACAACGGGGAGACGCGTTTTATGAAACTGCTGTGGTTTATTCTCTAAGGAAGAAAACTAATTGCTCGTAAATATTTTGGTGCTGAATAACAATTTTGCGGACAATTGTTATATTTTTAGAGACTTTATTTTCAAAATTTAGGTTAAATATCATACAATTAATATCTAATATTTATTTTTCTTATATTTATATGTAAAACTTTGGTTTCCTAAATACATACACGAGAATGTAATTTCACTTTTAAAATATTAAATTTTTAATATTTGTATTTAAAAAATTAAAATTTAAACCATTCAGAATCTGTGATGGACTTTTTTAAGTTTATCAAAATCAACGTGACACATAAAGGGCATAGATGGAATTTTTATTCCATACAATCTGCATACGGTGGTCAATTAGAAAATGCTACGTGAAATCCGGCTCCACTAACACAATATGTAAATTCCTTATTTTTTAACTCATGCGGCCCGACCCGACCCGCCTTTTTTTCGGAAAACGAAACGCATAAAGGTTTCCCCCCACTTTATTTTTGCACTTTAGGGTTTGGAGCTGCCGGAATGGATTGCTCTCTCGCCGAAAACAACGACAACGACTTTTAGATCCAAGTGAGTTTAACTTCGATCAGAATATTTTTGACGAAGACAATGACAACGACTTCCAGATCCAAGTGAGTTTAGCTTCGCTCAGAATGTTTTTTTTTTTATCTTGAAGACATTGTTGCGGTTTTAGGGTTTCAGGGTTTGTGCGAGTTTTAATTTTTGATTTAATGGATAGTTGTGGCATTTGTCTGGGTTTATCGGAGGTTTAATTAGATGATTTAATAGTTACTTTAGTTGTTTATCAGAGGGATACTTCTGACATTTGTCTCATTACTTGTGTTTAACCAGTTGTTTCTCTAGGTTTATCGAAGTGTTACTTTAGTGATTTTCAGTTTATTCAAAGTTGTTGTCGTTGTAACTCTTTATGTTATGCTGACATTTAGTGTGGGGTAATGGTTTTAAGTGTTACTATAGTATTATCTTGGCAGCATTCTCGTGTTATTTTTGTTAATGAGGGATGTTGGTGTTATTGTGGGGGTATTGTGGTATTATTATGGTTTTATTGTTATGTCATTGTACTGTTGAAGACAGTTTTATTGCTGCGTTGTTGTGATTTTGTTATTGTGTGATTATGGTGTTATTGTCATTGCTGTTTTAGTAGACGCATTTGTGTTACTATAGTGTTTGTATTTTGAAAATTTATATCTCTTTAAAGTATTGCATTTATATAACTTAAATCATTGCATGCAGGAAAGGAGTAACAAAGGTGAACAAGCCAAGTACGATTTTTTAAACTATTTGATACAAATTTGTGGGCAATGATATCAGAGTTATTTAATGACTCATAGAGGTCTTAGTTAGAATTATGATGAAGCAAAAAATTGCAATATATGTAATATTCATTTTAGTGGAAGGGAGAGTTCCTTGATTGCTCGGAAGAAATGAGATCGAGTTACTTAGTGATTCAGCTAATCTTGAAAGATAAGTAGTCGAAAAATCATTCACATCATTGATCAATGGTTGATTAAGAGGGATTTTCAGGTTGTTTGCACATCTAAAGTTGTGGTAGATATAAAATCTGGTGCCAATGGCGAAGATGTGATTTATATCGGGTAAGTCGTAAAGGGTTTGCTAAATTATGGAAACAGAATAAAATGTAATTGTAAGTTATGATGTTTTGGACTTCTTAAGTCTCATGTGAATGGTGTTCCGTCAAGTGAACCAGTTGGAACACCAGTCACATGAGACTTAAGAAGTCCAGAACATCATAACTTGCAATAACATTTTAGTTTGTTTCCATAATTTGGCAAACCCATTATCCTGAATTACCCAATACAAATCAGATCATCGAATTTGACATCATATTATATAACTCCATCAACTTTAGATGTGCAAACAGCCTGAAACTTCCTCTTAATAAACCCTTGATCATTGATGTGAATAATTTTTTGACTGGTTATCTTTCAAGATTATTTGAATCACTAAATAGCTCAATCTCATTGCCTTTGAGCAATCAAGGAATTCTCCCTCCCATTAAAATAAATATTACACGTATTGCAATTTTCTGCTTCTTCACTAATTCTAACCAAGCCCTCAATGAGTCGTTAAATAACTCTAATATTATTGCCCACAAATTTGACCAACAGAGTTGGAGCTGAATCTACAAACCAACGGACCGACCTCCCCTTTGCCGCATAATTTTGATGTTTATTCATCTATCATAGATGTATGAAACGGTGGTTATTGTTCTATGCGTCGTCAGGTTTATTCGACTGCCTCTAATATCACGGTATTATTAATGAATTATTCGAGTATTATTGCTCTATGTTTTGTTATGTATGTCGGCGTTATTTCGAGGATGGTTTGTGGGGTTGCCCGTAAGAAATTGTCGATCACCGTAATCGAAATCCCGTCGCCCGCTTCGGAAGGGCATTGAAGTATGAAATCAAACTGACCCCATATTTTTTATAGTTTCAAATGAAAGAGCATTGTATCTCAAATCTTGTATCTATCCCGAAGGATAAACACAAGACTTGAGGATGAGGCTCGATCAAATAAACTAAGGAAAGTATGACGTCTGTTTGGTCTGCGAAACCTTTGTATTTACCGACAAG